CACGTTATGTTATGTTATGTTATTATCGCAAACAAGTTCGTGGTGTTGGAAAAAGTGCGGCACTCGCAGCGGATAAACAATGCCTTGATTCACATCTGGATTATCACCGCAAAGAATGGGACAGTAAACTGCGTTCATTGTTTGAGATGCCAGGTAGGTCTCGCCGAATCATGTTCGCACATAGCTGGTGTGCTATCTTATCTTGAGGTTTGGACAAAGGTCAATAGAAGGCTTCCCTGTATGCGAATTAAGTGCCCTTGGATACTTCCAAGTTTCCCAAACAAGATGGAATACTCTCGTGTCCGCGATATTAACTTTAAATCCGCTTAGAAAGTGAAAGCCGACCTTGATGAAACGATAGAGAATCTCAATGAGGGACTTAAGGTTTCTGAGAACTCGGAAGTCTTCATTGAAAGCTCCGTTCAGAAACCGCTAGCGCCGACACAAGCGGAAATGGAAACCTTTATTTTGACCTCAACAAATGCAAAACAAAGCCTGTATTGCTGGGCTTGATGCCCACTGATGATTCGACATCGTAGGAAATGTCAGTAACCTTTAATCCTGGTTGATCAAGTTTTTGCTTCTTGGACTAGATTTCTTCCCGAAGCTGCCTTTTACGTTCTCCTGCGACACGTTTCAGCTCACGACTGTGACGATAAGTTTTCGCTCACTACACTGGACTTTCGCGGGAAACGTACAAACGGGGGGAAATTAGCTCGGTAGAGACCACTCGGCTTGCGAGAACGAAAACTCGTCACGATTTCCTGGCGCACGGAGATCTGCTTCTAGTGAACTTGTATGGACATCAAGGATGAGACAGTGTTCGGTTCCACGGTACTTTTATTCTAGGTCAGGCCAACAAGCGACATGACCTCTAGCGTACTCAAGTTTGTAATCATCAGTACAACGTACTTGCTTAAGAACTAACTGGTGTGAGGTGCTATTGTTATACAAATCGCAATATTTGAATAAGGACACAAAGGAGCGGAAAAAGTCTCTTTGAAGTTAAACAAAAACTACTTAAATATTCCATCTGTTTCTACGACGGAAAGAATTCCTAAAATAAAAAGACGGATGCAATAAACTCGAGGCTGAGTAAGAAACTTAAGTGCGAATTCACAGCTCTGGTATAGAAAATAATACCTATCTTAATTACAGCAGAACAGCTTAGGAAATAAAAACGGAAAAGCAATTTTATAGTTTCTGCTTATCTATGCAAGGTTGGTGTGGAAACTATCGTATATGAAAAGAAATTAAAGTTACGAGTATAAACTCAGCTGCTATCTACCATGAAAACCAATTTTTCCAGAAAGACCATTAACACTTATATTTACCTAAAAAAAACCATGTAAAAAATAACAAAAGTGCCGACATGCAGGTGCATATGATGAAAGCGAGTAACAACAAAAATCTCTTCAAAAGCTGATCGCAGAAATCCATTTGTTTCGCCTCTCCTTGGAAAGTTTCCGTACTTCTTCTCCTCGACTAGTAGTAGCTTGAGGTATATTCTTGCCATATTAATTCCTTTATCACGACCATTTTGGGTCCCACAGCCAAAAATCGCGCATAAAACCATTTTTTTAATCATAAACACAACTCGTGGTCATATGTTTACAGGCAAGTGATGTGCACCAATAGGGTGGCCAATTAAAATGAGATCATGTGACTGAAAACCCATGCACATGCGAAGCCATTTAAAATCTCCTGTTTGCTCGAAATGAAAAGTAATAGGCAATGTTTTGATGAAAGTACCCCACACTCTACTCGTAATACGAGCCATCATTAAGACCAGAATTTATAATATGTAAGGCGTATAATTCACGTTATGGTACGCAGTCTTGTCAAACTGAAGGCGCGTAAGAAATTTCCATAATAAATCATCTGAGCAACGAAACAAATTTACCAGTTAGTTTCTGCATAGAAGCCAGAAGGGTAGCATCATTTGGTTTCACTTTCGTTCTATTTTGTTTGACCCTCAGACAAGCGTCGAAATGCTATAAATGTGATGGGAACAATGAACAGTGCTGTCTGGTAATGATGCCAGATATTACATATGTTATATTTTATTACATAGAGTGTGCAACGCGAATTAAAATATGTTTGCTTCGTTTTGATGGAGACGAAAACGAACACTTTTGAAAACGCATTAGCGTGGTCGAGGTTGATTAAAATACGTGAGTTCAGTCAATTTGTAAGTCTTGAACCCTTGTTTGGCTAATTCTAGCACAGGGAGACGTCTGGTCAAAATGGGAGCCTCGGTTCTAAGACATGTGGCACTGAAACACAAATGCAGACAGTTAATCGTAGCAACATCAGGCAAAACACTCAAGTATGGCGAGACTGCATCAACAACAAAGAGATTCAAACAAGATATCACAATAGACTTTGTACAGGTATGAAACTCTAGGCAGCTTGGTACTGTAATTTTTTAAATCTCTGATATTCTCATTCTCAGTTATTTCACAGTACACGAGTGTTTCCGAGAAAACAACACAGGTAGTAAAGCTTTCTTAAAGACTTGGGTAGCAGGAAGTGCTGCGAGACGTTGCTACAACCCGCATGATTCCGACTGGAAGCTGGCACAAAAATATCCATTGACTAGTTCCCCACAGTGTTCCAGATTGATTCTGGTACACCATGAAGTGAAAGCAAAAACTGCTTGTGGGACTTCGTAGCTTGTCGGTGTGCTCCCTCTGGGACCACGAACCTCAGAGCCATTTTATGAAAAGTCCCCGATCGATTATGCCCGTTCACAACAAGTAACTCATCAAAGAACTTCTGTGAATCTATGAATAGTGGCAGAACATACAAGTGCGGAAACCGAAGCTCTAAGTTTCGATTCCTCAAGGGGACTCAAGTGGTAGAAGTGTTCTGGCATCCTAAGATCGGCTTAGAATCATATGTGAAAACAATGGCTTTGAACTTCAGGTTCCAGGGTATTCAACACCGTTCGGCGAACGGTGTTCCATACAACGATGCAGTTTGTAATCAAGAATTAATTGTCAGTGGTGCGATCGTCCGGTTTACCGAGGAGACAGAGTGCGTGGGGCCTCAATCAGAGTCAGGTCTGTCATGACTCTGGTAATGGCTCCGTTTTTTAAACATTACTAACAGCAGTCCTTTTTTACGACTTCTCTCGCCCGGACGATTGCATCATACGATCGCACATTCAATCTTTATAACCTTGTGTCTTCCGTTTTTGCAAACCTCGCCAGATGATCAAAGTGTGGGATGGGCATCCAGCTAAAGTAGGCAAATGATTTCCCTTCTCAACATTAAGATTTCACAAAAATTCTCTTTTATTTAATTCATTTTTTCAGGCTTTGCTTTGACGTGTTTCCGGTGCAAGGGCTTAGAACAGTACTGCCTACAAGAAAAGCTCCAGCGCAACCGAACCCAAGACGCTTGCAATTCTAAATTATGCTTTTTGTGTTATGATTGTTTGGACCTACCACGAAGATCAAAGACACCAAAGGTCAAGCAAAAGTCAGCAAAGGATGGAAAAAAAACAGAAAACAATGTCACGGCTGCCACGGTTTATTGATCTTTGTTAAGACTCCTAAGACTCTATTTACTCCGAATAACTGGTATCTATCTAGGTCAAAGAGCGGTACCCTTCTAGGTCAAAGAGCGTTCACTTATCACGGATATCTTGTACAATAGCAAATCACGCATCTCATTGTCATGTCCGGTCCCGCGTCGCGCCGATAATTTGGGCTCAATCATGCGTCACCGTGCAAATTTTGGGGCCATCACGCGTCACGCAAAAACCCTTTGCCACCCTCTGTAACTACTCTCTCTGGGGGAAGATGAAACATTCTGCCTAACAGTAGGTCTGTTCTTTTTACAGGGTTTTCCCTCACGCGTTTTACAAGGTGCCTGGGAATCGCTAAGTTCGATTTCCGCCGTTCTCTCGTGTCCGATCTTCGCTCCTCCCCGAGAAGTCCTTCTTTGTCATCATATGTAATCGCTGGCTATTATACCAGTATCTTGCGCATCTGTCGCACGTTGGTAAATTGAAGGCCTTGTTTTCTTCCAGTTTGTTCTTCAAACAGCTGTCTCAGTCTTCCCCCATGCAGAAGTAACATCGTATTGCAATAACTGAACAGCAACGAGAAAAATTGAAAGATAAGTTGATCCGGATTTCACCTGGGTTGCAATGCAGTCCTTGAAATAGCTTAAAATATTAATTTAAAAAATGGAGATGCGTCGTCAAAATCGACTAACTTTTTAGAACTTCGTAAGCAATTCGTTATTCGGCATAACCTTTAGCATGTGTTGTCGGCATGAAATGGTTTAAGAGGTCTGTACCGTTTCATCCGGCTACCAGGACGTACGAGTGCGTTGTGGGACAACTTTCGTTACCGAATAGTTACCCCGAAAGTGTGGAGGGAAAATTTTAGGGTGAGTCGAGAATTTGTCTACAGTTTGGCAGAAGATACTATGATGAATGTAAGTGCTCCATTACCGTACCGTTTTTAGCCAATGACACGAAGAGCAAAAACGATTCAAACACAAAAAAAGGAAAGAAACCCAATTTAACAAGGCGCTGTTAAAAACTATTTTCCATCCCATGCCTCTCTCTGCTTAGCTATTCTTCGCTTTGATGCACACACAACTGCTAGCGGCTCAGGTTAGGACTTTTGTATCATACAAAAGGAAATACAACCACGGGGTTATAACAGTTTGTCAAATATTTTTACTTCCGAGTCGCAAGATCGCGGAATCAGAAAATTGTGACTGGCAACATTTAGCCGGACAGTTATTCACAGAGAACACTGCTGGACATCTAGATACCCCATGTTCTGCCTTAGCCTGGCTTATGTTGTGAAAGCAAGCTGTGTTGTCCGGTTCATTGCTCGCAAATAAACACACGAGCAATTAAATGGAAGAAGAGCTGGCAGACAACTTAAATTTACAGCCACCATTATAATCACTTCCACCACTTTCAATGTGGTTATTGATATTCATGGAAGTAGTGTAACTGAATCATCGCTGTCTACGATTATTTCAAAACGTTTAATCCAACTGCTAAGCTTACAATACAAGGAAATTCACTCAGATCTACAAATCTACTTTTTTTTTTGCGAGTAACATTGACTGTCCATCTTGGATGACATGTCTTATGACGCTCACAATTCTACAATCAAGGGGTGCTCGTAACACGTTAGCATCTTTGGTCTGCGGTCTACTTCATTAGTGCTAGGCCCAAGACAGAGGAGACGATCAACAGGAAGAAGCTGAAGGTCACAGGCGAGCTTGCGTTACAGGCATCGTCAGTGCAGCAACCAACCCCGCACTTGTAGTCCTTGATAGTATCTTTAAGCTTGTCACAAAGCTCATCTGCTGCGTCACAGACAGCTTCATTGGCGCAGGAGTTTCCTACAGCGTTCGCGTCATCTTTCTTAGACCAACTCCTAGCGCACCTGTCAAAGCCGGAAGGACATTCCTTCAAGTAGGTGTCCTTGTCACCTTCCAGTTTGCTCTTGCTGCAAGTATCTTCAGTGCCAGAGCACACATAGCATTTCAACGCACAACCTGATGACAAAGAAAAAAATATACAACAATCTTAAACGTTACACACTGAATGACTTCGAGGAACGCAAGAAATTATTTTTGTTGTGGTTCATTGCAATCTAATTGCATCCACAAATGTTGCAGTCTGATTAGCCAAGCGACACGCTATCTATTCCCTGATCGATTTTGAGTAAAGTAAGTAGAACATGACGTGACCTATTTATATGATCAATCATTCAATAACAGCATGTTCATATCCCGTTGTTAGGTTTTGAACGTTTAGAAAACTTATTCTAAGACAACTAGCTCATCATACACCCCTAATTTCTTTGCGTGATCTAGTTCTTGCGGGCTTCCCAATCACTTGAGGCAGTAAAGCGTTTGAAACAAAGCACCATAATAGCTAATCCTTAATGTACCAGCAAAGAACATGATACTCAGTCACCTGACTCCTTTTATGAATCTTTCGCCAGAGTAAAAATATTAAGTTTGGCGAGCCTTAGAGATTTCTATGTCTCTCCTATGCGCAACTTACGCCAAAACCGGAAAATTTCGGATATTGCATCAGGCATAATGTAATGTGTTATCTCTACAATCATCTGTACCATATTCGTAAAACCATCGAATTAACTCATTAAAGCTAACAAAACTGTTATCCCAGAGACCCCGGAAATTTCGAACATTCAAAATATTTCCTTAGCATTATTCTGGACTGACAAACCGAAAGAAAATTGCTATAAATTAGTTCAGTCACGGCGGGTGCACACGAAACACTAAAGATATTGTTTGCGGTCATGGAGCCTCGACCATAAATTGCCTTACCGTTCCTTGCATCTTTAATTTTTTCCAGCTTTCTTAACCTGGTAGTCACCTTTGCTAACCATAATCAAACCAAACACTATATCTTTAAAATATTGTGTTTTATCACTAATATTGCTCAAAGAAGCTAATTATGACGATTTTAACGACTAGAAAAGTCATTCCGAAACTAGAGGGAAGCTCTTTTGTTATGCAAAACAAAGAAATATGTTGTTTGTCGTTCATAATCCCGAAGCATCGAGATTCTATGCTTCTTCATTTCTGGGCTTAAAGAATATTCACCCGTTAGTTTTGTTGAAAACAAATGTAATGAACAATCCCAGTACACAATTTACGGAATCAGACACAAATGGTTACTGTTCTATTTAAGAAATACTCGCTCAGTTGTTCTGTTCCAAATGTGGGCGTCGTCAGTCTTCTATCGAGTCCACACAAAATGTAGTTAAACCATTAAAAAGACTGTTCACGACTTCGGAAATAGCGTCTTGGTTTTCACCGCAAAAAAGAATCTTAAAACATCACATCACCACATGAAAAGTCAACGAAACACCAGCACCTCAATATAATTTCCTCCTACGCATGATTGACGCTCACAATCGCAAATGAACACATACCAATAGAAACACATCAAGTTCCCCGCACTTGCAAGGATTTTTCTTCGGCTTACGGTGAGATTTCGCTCTGATGAAGGGCTAACGCTCAAAACGTCAGCTTTAGATACTCTTTACAGTGGCAAGTTCACATTATCAGCTCAGTTGATAAAATCAAATAATCTCGTCATACCCCACACCGATGCAAAATCTCAGTTTCTTTATAAACTGACCTCCTTTCCTTTAATCATGGAGAGAAACCCTTATATGACAGAGGCAAATTAAAGCAACCGAAAACACAAGACGAGTTGTTTTGATGCCATTTTTGTTTGATCTCTTTCTGCATTGTTTAGCGCGAATGAGTATCAAAGAAACCACAACATTATCTGTAGAGTAATTCTACAATTTCTTTAGTTTCAAAGCTTTACATTACCCACCAGGTGCAGTCATCATCACAAGAACAGTCAGAGTGAACAGCAAACGATTCATTTTTGGGGCTCCTCTCTTATGTCGAAGTTGAACTCTTCGTGCTATACCGAACATGTACTGCCACGCCAAATTTATGCATAGTACGTTCACTAAGGGCGTATAAAAGGTAACAGACAAACAAAATGGTGCGGGGGGCCATAAACCACCTCTGTGTTCCTGGTCCACAAATCATTACATGCAATGTTAATGGTGTCATTTCGTTACTTTGGAGGATTTAAATCGCTGAATAGGAACACAAAATGTCATACACCTGGTTATTTTAGTCAGATGTGGAATGATGATTGCTCGTCTTCAAAAAATTGAAGGTGTTCCTCAGAAGTGATCCACTAACTATACGCATGGTGGTTATGTCATGGACCCCCGGTTCATGTCTTGTAAATTTGTGATCCTTAACAATGCGCTAGAGTATCATTGGCCTGTGCACAGCGTATTACGAAACCGGTTTAATCGGGTCGAAGATCTGCGAAATCAACCTTTGACGCATTGAGCTGACATAAAAAGTTGCAATGCATAAATGTCATTGCGTGCAATGAAGACACTCGGGTTCGCCTAGTGGTTTCACTTTAGTTTTGCTTATTTTGGAGGTTTTTGAATGTTGTTGACATTGATGGTCAAAATCTCTCGGCATTGCAAAATCTGTGACGTCACTGGGTTATGGTGCATTGTTAGTCCTGCCTATTACTCGCCAATCCTGCACGTGAACAGGGCATGATTGAGGTGGCATAACATTTTTGGCGCGGCGTGAATTTTTTGTCGTTTGCGTGACATTTTTCAAGTTATCTGTGGCATAACACGAAAATTCAAACTCCGTCATAAGATAGGAGCCAGAAAATGAGTCGTTTGCTATTCCTTCTGACTGTCGTTGTTCTGATGGCTGCACATGGTGAGTACTGGGCAACTTTGGAACCGAAGAAGTTGTAGCTAAATTTGAAAACAAAATTTTCACGCATCAGCTTATCATGGGCAGCTGTGGAATAATAATTGATCATCTAAAAAAAAAACAAGAGTGGTCCAAAGGTGATCCACGAAATAGGCGCGTGGTGAAAGTTCAAACTCTCGCTAAATTGGCAAATGAATGAACTTAGATGCAATTAAATCTACATCTTTTCAAGATCAGGGTATTGCGGTCTTTTCGTCTTCTTTTGTTGCCGCCAACATTCTGCAACTACGATTATATTGTCTATAATAATAGGTCCTAATAATAGGTCCTTTTTTCAGCGAAGAACAAGCTTAAAAGTCGCGTAGGACTGAATTGTGTCCTAAAGATGATCAATTTAAGCCTAAATCCAAACTACATTCATATGTCCTCATTATTGCAAAGAACAAACTTGAAAGAGCGGTAGCACTGAGTTATGATTCTGAACAAATAAAGTCAGACTTGGAAATAATGAAAACTAAGTGAGATCTGAATGATTTTGATAGTGCATTTCTTACCCTGGTTCAACTTAGGATTATCTATTTTAATAAAAACACTTAACAAAAGCTGTTATATGCATTTTTAAGGATTACGGTTACGGCGGTTCACGGAAAAAAAAAGCCTATCATGCTGGCGGCCAAAACCAATGAAGATACTCGACGGTTATTTTACGGCCATTTTATTTGTTTCAGTGTCGCGTTATTCAGCGATGCTTCTAATAAGAAACAAAATTTCTTGAGAGATTAAGCTACAATTCAAATTCTAAAGTTGTACAATACTCACCATGTGCAGCCATCAGAACGACGATAGTCAGAGTGAACAGCAAACGATCCATTTTTGAGGCTCCTCGTGTCGAAGTTGAACTCTTTGTGCTATACTGAACATGAACTGCCACGCCAAATTTATGCATTATTAAGGCATGTAACACATAAATTAAAAAAGATAACAGACAAACAAAAATGGTGCGGGGGGGGGGGGGCCATAAACCACCCCTGTGTTCCTAGTCCACAAATCATTACATGCGATGTTAATGGTTTCATTACGTTACTTTGGAGGATTTATCTGCTGAACAGGAACATAAAATGTCATACACCTGGTTATTTTGGTCAGATGCGGAATGATGATTGTTCATCTTCAAAAATTGAAGGCGTTCTACAAAAGTAACCCACGAACTGCACGCACGGTGGTAATTCATGGACCCCCGGTTCATGTCTTGTAAATTTGTGATCCTTAACGAGGCCATAAAGTCCGTGAACACTTCTAAACCCGTAAAAAATAGCGATATGAACCGACTGAGTCGGATTGCTCGTTCAGAGTTGGTTTTAGTTCTCAGATGGTTAATTAACATCGCGTGCACTAAGCAACCGAATTTATATTTACAACGTCAAAGGTAGTGTAGCGTAGCTACCAAAGGCCAACTTTTCCAGTTAAATGGGACAAGCCCAAACCAGACGGAGAGTCTGGAGGATGCACTCCAAAAACCCGGTATCCTTGTGGAGTGGGAGAGTGGGTCTCTAGATCCAATTTAAACGGCGGCCTAGAGTAGAGTACAAGGGGTTGGCCCAAGGTGGTCCTTTTGCACTCATAATTTGCATATCCCCAGGGCATTTTACTAATATATGCAAATGTCTTTCTTTTCTCGCAGATTTCATTGTCCTTTGTGGCGGGTGGATTATGATTCAAATTGAGTGGCTAGCTATTGAACGGCTTACCAAATTAAATGGCTCACCTTTCAATTTGAAAGGACTTTATCTCTGGTCCGGACTTATTCTCTGATCGCAATTTTGTTCTGAATATTTATTAGTCACGATAAAGATCCGTAGCTATATTCTTTTTAAAACTACAGCATTGAAAAGTGAAGTAAAGGCGAGTATTTTTTCGCTTTCAAAAAGCAAAAGCAGTGCTCTCATGCGTCGTAACTAATGAAAAACATTAGAATATGAGAAATGAATAAAGGGGGGTAAGTTTCTAAAGAAACTTTGGTGCTGCGTCGGAGGGAGAGTATAGCAGGTAATTTAATGTTAACAACTGAGTTAAAAACGTAAATTGACCACCGTAAAGAGTAAAACTCAGTTGTCAACATTGAATTAACTATTAGAATAGGAGGTCTGCTTGGCATAAAGTTGCTTTGTTGCTATGTGAGATTTCACGCTCTATTGGCTCGCTCGGCGTTGTATTCAAGATAACAAGCTACACAGCATCACGAATGTTTATTCACGATCATCTTGTCCTTGAGCGTAAGCGATCCGTCCTTTCGAAAAAAGGTAAAAAGTCTATAATTTTGCGATTAGAGAAAGGAGAAAAAGGAACCAATTTTTCAGCCAGCGGCGTTAGATATCTGATATCCGCAACAACAAGGAAGAGATCACGAAGTTTGCCGACAACCTACAGACCAGCGGAGGACTAGAGCGTAAATCGCTGCGAGTTGCACATGATGAACAGCGGACAGTGAAGATGTATACCATATTTTTTCAAAACGATTTTTAAAGGTTTTGTTTCACGATTAAATGTCGCTTTCTTACTTATGGACAAAAAAAAGAATGAACGGTAAAAAAAAGACGTTTCGACCAAACTTCGGTCATTTTCAAGTGAATAGTAGGAATGTCACGATGAATATATATATGCGTGTAAGAAGTATAAAGGTTTTTTTGGAAAAGTAAACGGACAGTAAGAACATATTTAGAAGAAATAATAAGAAGCTAATTAAAAACCAAGTTGAAAATAAAAATAAAAATTAAAAACCTTATTAAAAACCTTTGCAAGAATTGAGTCCGACTGCACATCGAGAGCAGGTCTCAGTTCTTGAATAAAAGACATTTCATAAAGTAGGCGGTCACTGTTGGTTGTGAACCAACAGTGCCTTGTTTACAAACAAATTTGTGACACTAATTTATTTTGTCATTGTTCAATGCCCGAGTGTTGGGACGACATGGTAGAGTGCGAGGGATTTAAGACTGCCTCGGAGGACGAGTGGCTCTTCATTGTCTGCAGATTGCCAGACTCTAGACGTCTTCGTAATTGTTAAGGTGTTATTTCGGATGCCTCAACAGTTAATAATCGTTAAAATTAGAAAATAAGATTGAGTTCGATTTAATAGTCTCTATTTTTGTTAAGACGTTGACATTAACGTTGATTTGCATCTGAAAATAAGCTGAGAGTTCCAATAGTTCAGAATAGAAACATTTTTACTTATCATAGGCTTTACGAACGACTTGTAATACGAGTAGTTTCTTCGTTCTTGTTCAAAAACTGTTTAATGTTATTATTTTAGAAAATCAGACTGAGTTATTTTTGTGACTGGACGCAATAGTCTCCATTATTGTTGTGACGTTTCGTACCAATGTTGATTCGCATCAGAAGAAGCAAAGATTTATTGTAACAATTTCAATAGTTCGAATGCAGTAGTTTGTTCACATCTAATTCTTGCGTATACTGGTCGACTCGCTATAATGAATGCGGTAGAATTGGAACGAAATGGCTGTTGTTGTTTTTTTTTTTACCTTTATTAAGGAAATGTTGTGTTGTGATTGAAAAGAACATCGACAAAAAAGCTTGCAAATAGAATTAGTTACCAAATATGATACAAAGGATGCTTAAAAGGAAAGTTTGGTAGGGGGGTCCAAATCTGCGAAGGGGGGGTCCAATCCGCTGTGACACCGGAACTGCGGGACACGGAATCCACCCCGTCATCGTCTTTAGCTTCTCTTGAAATGGGATGGGCCCTAAAGCAGAGTCGTTCTCGCAATCTCGTTTCACTGATGGACAAAAGGACTACTTGATAGCCAAGTTTGAAACTGGAGAACAAACGGGACAAAGGCAGATGCTGCAAGTGTCTCAAGATTAATGAGGTCTGAGAAAGACGAAAACGGCGAACAGCTATTCGACTGCTCTGAGTTTCTTAAATTGCTGAAATTTGTTAGAAGCGCCGAAAAGGTTATTTGCTGTTAAGAGCAGTGACAGTTAAGACAAGCGATATTGACTCTTACGCGGTTAATTAAGATTTGTAAATTTAATTGTCTTGCCTATACGTCACAAAGCGAACAGACATTGCGGTAATTAAAAAGTGTTTTCACTCCGGCAGAAAAAATCAACTTTGGTAAAAATAAAGGCAAAATCAGAGCCAAATGGATATTTAGACTTGCTTTTTCTTTTTTACGTAATTGTGTTTATTTTAAATCAAAGTGCTCTATGAGCAAACTCGTGAATTGACACATGATTTTTTGGATTGTGTTTAATGTTAACTGGTTTAGGGAATTTTTTGGTTGATTGTCGTATCTAGAGTACAAGCAGTAGTTCAGTGTTCGCTAATGTAGCAAAGAAACAAAGTAATTGAAATTGAAATGATCATGCTATTACATTTGACAAGGGTGGATGATGTCATGTGTTTTAAAAGTCTATCATTTTTGTTTCTAGTTCAAAAGAAAAGGTTGGAAGTAAATGTGGGTGAAAAGTGAAATTTACTGTCTATCATTATAAAAATTAGAAAATCAAGGCAATAACGTCTTAATGAAAACATTAACGATTCCCTCTTTATCAAATGAGACAAACGAGAACGAGTTTTGAGTGATATAACTAAGCCAAGACTGCCACCGTCATTTTGGATCTCCGCCTGGGTAGATTTTAGTCACGTGCTAGGCAACTTATAATCAATAACAAGATAGAATTTCATTTCAGGCCTATTTATCAATTTTGTGGTGTATAACTTTCACATTTTAGTACGTAATACGTATTTTGAATCTTCAAATTGTCTTGAAACTTACAAGAAGATTGTTCGTTAAAAATTCACTGAAAATCGCTAGCTATGATTTTCGTGTTAACTTGTAATTTCGTCAGTCCCCGGCATCTTTTGTTACTTCACACAGGAAAAACACACGATACGAAACGTAATGATCGATTTTGTCCTCAATCTCACGCTATAACAGAAAAAGCTTTTGAACATCTGTAAACTCCGTATGATTTTCGTGTTAACTTGTAATTTCGTCAGTCCCCGGCATCTTTTGTTACTTCACACAGGAAAAACACACGATACGAAACGTAATGATCGATTTTGTCCTCAATCTCACGCTATAACAGAAAAAGCTTTTGAACATCTGTAAACTCCGTATGATTTTCGTATTAACTTGTAATTTCGTCAGTCCCCGGCATCTTTTGTTACTTCACACAGGAAAAACACACGATACGAAACGTAATGATCGATTTTGTCCTCAATCTCACGCTATAACAGAAAAAGCTTTTGAACATCTGTAAACTCCGTGCGCTTCGCAATAAGTGATATTTTCAATGAATCTTCGGATTGTTTTCAAGTTCAAGGATTGTGAATTACAATTTTATGAAAAACGAAGGTTGTTCTGTTATTTCAGTGTGAATCCTTGCATGCCTGCCAGTCGCTGGCGCTGCTTGTTGAAACTAAAACGAAAAAAAAACTCTTTTAAGATTATCATTGGCTTCTTTTTCACCCCACCACTATTCTTAGCAACAAAGGTCGCCATTTTGTTTGTTTATTGCTCGCCAAAAACTATCAAATGCACTCAAAAGCCTAAAATAAAAAAAAAGTTTACAGGAATCGACCAATCGAGCGAGCGAGCGAGCGAGCGAGCGAGCGAATGCTATTCCCCACATCGTATCTATAACTCGCTCTTGCGCATGCGCGCAATTCACGAGTTAAAAATGACCGTCGAGCGACCACAACTGCAATTATGCTAATTGGGTCATGCAAGCCCTCACTTAGTCCACTTAATTCTTGCCAAAACCTCCCTTTGAAAACTCTGTTGGTTTTTATCGAGTGCTAGTTAAAAGGCACGGGTAAGCACATAGAGAAAGTTAAACAATGGGCAGAAACTTAAGTTTCGTGTGCAAGAGAACAGCAAAGTTCTTAATCGTATCCGTTACTGGCACTGGTGCATAATCGTACTAGACAGAACGATGGCGGAACATCTCTGCAGAAATAAACTTCAAATGATACACTGCAAAGTAATTTAACAAAACTGGTTGTAGCTATGTCATTTGTTTCTGAAAAAGTTCTACTGTTCGATCCGAAGTCATTTCGAAGGCAGGAATGCTCCTTAACTCTTTGGTCACGCAATCAACATATTGCGTGATTTTATGTCTTCCGTGTGCTACTTAGAAGAGTTTCCTACGTCGCGAGAAAACATTTGCCCAAAGAAAATTTTACGTCATTTTGAAGATTATTCCTTCAGAAATTTACATACGTAATTTTGTGGAATTCTGAATAATGGCACATGGTGAACAAAGAGGTTTTCTTCACCGACATTTTTTTGTAACGGAAGAGAGCACATTGCTTTTTCGCATGGCCAAAAGCTTCTAAACAACCAATTCCTACATAACTTACATTTTACAGAAGACGAAGAGTCTATGAAAGAGCTCACGTTGGTAAGATTTCCCTAGACGTAATATCTTTGAAATGCGCCGCCGGTCGAAAATTAAACACTTTCGCTCGCTTCGCCGAAGCGAGCGAAAGTGTTTAATTTTCGACCTGTTTTTCGACCTGTTATGACCAGATTCATCGATTCCAGAGGGTAAAAGCGAAAAGTTTGTTTTTCTCGAAAATTAAAATACATTTGAGGAAAAAAAATACACAGCCTTTCTTGTCTTACTAGGGTCTACTTGTGTGCAAAAATTGAGACAATTTGAGTTTTTGACCCTTGCCATAAAAATTTCATTTTTGTTTGATTTTGCACGGATGTCCTCTTAATTCCTTTATCACGACCACTTCGGGTACCACAGCCAAAAATCGCGCATAAAACCTTTTTTTTTGTCATAAACACAACTCGTGGTCATATGTTCACAGGCAGGCAAGGGATGTGCACCAATAGGGCGGCGAATTAAAATGAGATCACGTGACTGAAAACGATCTATTATTGCGCCCACGTTCGCACATGCGTAGCCATTTAAAATCTCCTGTCTGCTCGAAATGCAAATTATGTTTTAGTGAAAGTGTAATCAAAACTGACACTGTCAGTCTTGAGGAATTACACCAAAGAATTTTAAGGGATAATCAGTGGTTTGTGCGAAGTTTTCAATTGAGTCGCTTGCGACACCACAATATATAAGGATCACGAACGTGAGCAAAAATAACTTTCTAAGACCTTGCGCTGAATAATGAAAATTGTTTTCAGTCAAGTCTTTGGGTTGCTTCTCATGGCTACCGTTGGTAAGTACTGCATCGCCATCAACTTTTATTTCGAAGTGAAATTTTGAAATAACACTTAAGCATAAAGACGAGAATATACTTCAGTCTTAGGTGAAGATGCATTATGTGGTACTGACCGCGATTACCACCATCATAATTCGCTAGCGGAATCACAAACTAGCAAAATCGGATCGTTTATAAAATCTCTGACACGAGTGCGTCTTGTGGTATTGATTGTGGAATCGCTGACTAAATGTTATATGAATTCGCACAAGTACCGTCTCATAACAGACGTTTTTCTCTCTTAATCCACTAACATATCAATGCAACAACAGCAGTGACACGAAATATTTGCCGTCATTTTCATTAAGGTATTTTCAGTTTCTTCCACGGTATAGTCGCGTTATTCTCGCAGCGATGACAGCAGCTTTGAAATTCAAGGAAAAGTCAGTTATTCGTCAGTTGAAACAATTTTGAAAACCACATTTTTTGCACATTGTCCATTAAATCAATATCAGCCTGTTTATCCATTACCTCAAACAAAAGATCTCTTAGGTATATTTGATTCAATGATATTTCGAAAGCTCATAACATCTAGACGGCGTGGCAATTTTACAAAATGATCCTCATCAAAAAATGTTTGCGTTTTGAAATGAAAATAGATGATAGAGTGATAAGATGAAGACAAAGCGAATGGAAATATGTTTGCTTCGTTTTGATGGAGACGAAAACGAACACTTTTGAAAACGCATTAGTGTGGTCAAGGCTGCAATAGTGCATCACTACCTTGATTGAAATACGCGAGTTCACGTGCGGAAACCAAAGGTCTAAGTTTCGATACCTCAAGATATTTTTCTTTGTCCCACGCTCGTGACAAGACAAAAAGACGTCTTTCTGTTATTATTTAATTTACTTTTCAGTTGGGATAGGTATCAACCTCATTCTTGGTAAAAGTGTTCTGTCGTCTTAATATCGGCTAAGAATCATATCAGCATAAAAGAAAAAATGGCCTCGAACTTCAGGTTCCGGGGTATTCAACATCGTTCGCCGAACGGTGTTGAATACAATGATGCATGTTGTAATCAAGAATTAATTGTCAGTAGTGTGATCGTCTGGTTTACCGAGGAGACAGTATGCGATCAGTGTCAGGTCTGTCTTAACTCTGGCGATGGCTCCGTTCACTTAAACATTACTCATTACTAACAGCAGTCCTTTTTTACGACTTCTCTCGCCCGGACGATTGCATCATACGATCGCGCACATTCAAACTTTATATCCTTGTGTCTTCCGTTTTTGCAAACCTCGCCAGATGATCAAAGTGTGGGATGGGCATGCAGCTAAAGTAGGCAAATGATTTCCCTTCTCAGCATAAAGATTTCATAAAAATTCTCTTTTATTTAATTCATTTTTTCAGGCTTTGCTTTGACGTGTTTCCAGTGCAAGGGCTTAGAACAGTACTGCCTACAAGAAAAGCTCCGGCGTAACCGAACCCAAGACGCTTGCAATCAGTACATGGACAGATGCATCATTAAAACCTTCATGCTTGATATTGGGGTAATCGAGATGACCAGAGGCTGTGGAAGGGAAATTGAGTGTAGATTAGCAGCACAAGATTGTAGGAGGAAGAGGAGTGCTCACCATAGATGCCATGTGACCTGCTGCCAAGGAGATTATTGTAACGGGAGCAATCAAATCATTTGTAAATTGCATGTTAATGTAATATTTCTCATGTACAGTTTTCTATCTGTAGTAATGAATCTACAGTAATTCAACGTTTCACTCTTTAACTTCTATGTGTGACCAAGAAAAAATTTCTCCTTACAATATCAAGCAGACAAGTGATGAGAATACAGAAAAATATTTTAACGAAGGTCAGGAGCTCATAATGGGCTCCTGTTAGGGTATCATTAGTTGATCCAATACCAAATTCTCCAAACTATTACAAGAACTATATGGCAGACAGTAAGGATAATTACTTATGAGATCTTGGGAGTTAAAGGATTAACATAAAGACCAACGGTGTCAACAATTCCATGTTTAAGGACAGTATTTCAAGGATAAGGAACATTTAAACAATGAAAGAGTAAGACACCGTCAGTCAAAAGTAACCAGTCATTATTTATCGCCGAAGGGGTGTTGAAGGATTTTGGTTGTGTTACCATAACATTTGCCTGCCCCCCCCCCCCCCATGAGGCTCTGTGATATTGTTTTGACCTCCTCCCCTCCCCCCTCATTAGAAGTTAGTTGGCGGTCAATTTTTCTATGGTCCTCCTTTTAGTGACGCATGAGGGGTTCCCCGTCAATCTACCTGTAAACCGTGTGATCCCCTTAAATTCCTTCACCCCCTCCCCTCCCCTCTCATTAGAAGTTAGTTGGCGGTCAATTTTTCTATGGTCCTCCTTTTAGTGACGCATGAGTGGTTCCCCATCAATCTACCTGTAAACCGTGTGATCCCCTTAAATTCTTCCACCCCCCCCCCCTCCCCTCCCATCCTCTGGTGATAATAATAATTGGTGACTGGCCCCTAAGTATCATTCTATGACTATCTATATATCAAAAGCGAGATTTTTCCCTTCCTGTCTTAACCTGTTCTTCATGCGGTCGTCAAATGCGATCGGCGTAAATACAAGCGTCAACAGACGTATATTTTGAAACGCAGCTTTACCTTGATCTTGTTCACAACTGAAAACATCGATCAGTCTCTAGAAAGATGTCCGTCAACAAGTTTCAGTTCTTTAACTCCCATAAGACAGAATTTCTCCTTACAATGTCAATACAATATCAACTAGGCAAGTGATAAGAATAAAGTAAAATATCACAACCACGGGATTATTAGTTGATCCAATACCAAATTCCCCGAACTAACATCACAGAAATTGTATCATCGGCTGTAAGGAGAATAACTGATCAAATATTGGAAGTGAAAGGATTAAGCAGGCAGTGTGCTGCTATTTGATTGGTTGAATTCAAAGGATACACTTTTGGAAGAAACAAAACATTAATGTTTATTTTTCTTAACACTAGTAATAATAGTCAAACTTTACTCTGTGTTATTTTCAAACCAAACCTAGCTAAAGATTGACATCAAATCGTAATTTGATCACTAGTATGTATTTCGCTCATATTTTGTAAAATTGAAATGAACAATCTCCTCAATAAAAAGCCCATCTGACTAGTTTGGTGCAAATTTGTACACATTCTGGGAAACAATACTATAATATACACTCTATTCTTAAATGATCAACTCAGGTCACTTTATCAGCTTGTTCAGACGAGAAATTTCTATAAAATATTCCCTAAATTTAATTTGGCGCCAGACGCAAACACAGCCCATTACTTAAGTACACAAAGTAAAAACCAAAGCACGCCGAGTAAAACTCAGTGTCACTCTATTTACATTTAAATCCTACACATCAAGTTCACGAACAGAAGCCCTGACATCATCACAAGATGTGCTGGAGAGACACGTGGCCCAGGATTGCACCAGTCCCCTTTACAGCACCATGCATGACAAATCTTCTCGGTCTGAAGACCTCCCTTGGTCGCGCGCTCGCTTCCCCCGCAGCGAGATGTTTCTCTGTTGCAGATCCTATCACTTGCACACCGTTTATTAAAGATCTTTCTTCCATCTTGCTCCAGGAACACTGTGAGGCAGTTATCATAATCTCGCGGGCATCTCACTGTGTACTTTGCAATATCCGAGTGCATCATAGCCAGACTGCATTGTTCATTGTTCCCATCGCATTTATAGCATCTTGCCTGGCGTCTGTAGGCTTCAGAGAGTCAAACAAAATAGAACGAAAGTAAAAGTGATTCGATTATCACTGTGGGAAATGATGGTGCCCTTCTCACTACTATGCAGGAACTAACAAGCACATTTGTTTCGTTGTTCTTATAGAAATTTCTTACGCGCTTCCAGTTTGACAGGCCTGCATACCATAGTACACCTTACACATTATCTATTCTGGTCTTAATGATGGCTCCTATTACGAGTGGAGTGTGGGGTACTTATTCAATTTTGAGAGAAGAGCGGGAGCTTAAATTTAAGCACAACCTTTGTTTGTTACAAGACGCTGGCTCGAGTATATCTTGTATTTGTAAATTAAAAATGTAAACATGTATTCTGTGACTATGACATCTAATCCTGAGTTACGTTCGAACAAAAGTAAACTAAATTATACTCATTCACACCAGAAAAACATGTTTAGACAAACCGGGTTTCACTGAATGAAAATCAGCCACAGTGAACTGATAAAAACAAAAATTTCCATAGGATTCAAATAATTTTCAACGCGTTACATTTGAAGTCGACAAACATCAGTTTAAGTAGCTTCTAACACCGTGTTTAATAAAACAGCTTTGAAACATGTTTAAGCTTTGGTGTGAATGGGGTTAATGACATCCAATCCTAAGCTAAGTTTGCGCAAAAATAACCTAAAAATAAGAAAGTGATTCAAACTCTAAATTCTAGACTTCGTCAAATGACAAAGAAGATATGGACTAAGTTCGATCACGAGGACAGAGTTCTCCCACGACAACGACAGAAATATGTATATTGTTCAGTCAAAAATTTCGACTCTCAGTAGAATCAATAATTCTACCTTAAAAGCCAATTGAGATGAGCCCAAATTTCCTCTCAACACATGCTTGCGTGCATTTGTCCGCGAGAAGAAAACAAATTATATGGTAGTTTTACTTACCAACAGCTACTGGCATTAAAAATATCAGGAAATGAAGGAGATGATTCTTCATCATCGCTAAATGAAAGCCGGAGAATGTGATACTTGTCTCCCTTGGAGGGCGGAGAGTTCAAGTCCAGAAAATATGACGCAAAGATCGTCGCTGGGTTTTCATGAAATTTCTGCTCGTACGAGGCTTGACAAAATTTGCATGGAGAACAAGGTGTTCTCCATGCGTTAGTTCTATAAATTCATAATTCATAAGCCAAAATCAAATAAGCAAACTAAATGACATTTGCATGTCTGCGCAGTACTTCAAAATGATGACAAGAAATCAATCAAAAATATGGGCCTTAAGGGGGCATTACGTTTGGTTCATAGTAAGATTTTGGTAGCTTACTTAAAAAATCATATTTAGTCAACAATGCAATCAAATCAGCTCAAACTTGGTAAGAAGTACACCCAGGCAATTGCCTACCACATGGCATGTTTAAAGTTAACATATTGTTTCATATCAAACTCATGGGGTACAAATAGTCTTAACATGAATGTAGTGACTACGCCCAGTTCAACACCCCACTCAAATCGAGTGTAATTTTCGAATGTTTTACCATCGTGCGGATTCTCTACGGAAAAAGCATTCAATGTACCTCTGAAATATTAAACTATAATATTGTGGCTTTCTGTTTCGCTAATTTTCTAACTTGAAGGTAAAGTTTTTCCCTCGTCATTTTTACCTTTTCTCCGAGCGGTTGCGTGAAATTAACAAGGCGTTTTTGATCAAAACACGATCGAGCAAAGGGTCTCGGGCGATATCTCTTTTACGCAGGCGCAAATTAAAATAAAAAAGAGGAACAAATTTCCTTTGTTTTGATATGTAAAGTGTCGAACAAAAAGCAGATTTACGCTCGTCAAATGGCGTTTCAAAACAGCTTTATCTTCCTCCTTTTGATTTTTTCCTGTTTTTTTAAGCGTGAAAGCAGTAGGAGAGGGATCGGGAAACTCAGAAAGCGCTTCGGGAATTAATCTGCCATCGTTTATTTACAAGATAAACAGGCAAGATTTGTGAAGTTCGTTGAAATATGAAGTCTAAATAAATGCCCTTTTTAAGCTTGTTTGCTGGATTTTTCGTAAACTTCCCTGATTAATTTTTCGTTTCAGCTTACTAATCTATACTATTTCAAAGCAATGTAAAGACAAAGACGGAGAACCATGAGTCGTTCCTTTCAACAATCGTAAACAAAGTGTTTGAGCAATCAGATATACGAGGTGTAATAATCAATAGCTGCATATCAGAAGTCTTCAGAAAGAAAGTATTCTGTCTTCAGAAAGCTGTCAAGAAAGCTAGTAATCGTGGAGGAAGGCATCTAAATGCACTTCTTAGCAAGTTGGAAACGGTTCCTCGGTATCAATTTAATATCATATAAATCTCAATATTATACAGTTTTGTATCTTTCTTCCGTGAATTCGCCTTTCTAACGAGGGTGTATGTTGAGTATTTATTGCAAAATCGCTTTGTTTTTTTAATTTCCCTCTTTGGCCTGTCCGCAAGCGCATTACGTGGGGTAAGTGGTCGTGTACACCTGGAACCGAGAAAAACAAATGTTCGTCGCACTGGGCAAAGAGTTTGATATGTTTTACGTTAATAATTAACTAGTTACTGTAAAGGGCTATTTTGAGGGTCAAATCGGGGCCCGTCACTTTTTTGTCATTTCCTTTTAAAATAATCACCTAATTTTTGGTACAATAGAGCATTATCCAATGGACTGCAACCTCATCGAGAGTTATCGCCCTTTGACCATTTTGGTTGTCATGGTAACCAATTAGATTTTGCAAAAGACAAGTTATTTTTCAAACCAGTTGTATGTTAGAAAAAGAAATTTTGCTCAACTAGGTTGCAGATAATTACATAACAATCTTTGTACCAAATTTGGTGTCAATAGCTGAAATACTCTTCGAGAAATTTGAGGGGCCAACAAAAATTACCCTGAAAAAAGCTATTTTCGGAAAATTGCAATTAAAACTTTAGTTTTTTCTAAATGTCACTTGTAAGGCTAAAGACTCCATAAAATGGCCTTTTGTGCATCACAGCACACCTACTTGAAGGTATGCTTAGGTTCTTTGGTTCTTTCTCTTTTAACCCACTCTGAAGAGCTGTGTTTCGTCGAAACCTCCAGCTTCGTAGGCTATGCCTTCCTGGGTTACACACAGCTCTTCTTCTCTCTGCTTAGCTTGTCTTCATGCAAGTCTACATTGTTTGTGTTTTTCTTAAGCTCTGTGCTATGCTTACTGAATTCTTCCACTGTCTCGCTGTCTTCCTTCCTTCCAATTGTGTTTTTTACAATGTTGAAGGAATGAAACGTGACAAAACGATTAGATTGGGTTACCTGTGGTCGCCACGACAACCAAAAACTCACAATGTACTAGCCTTCAAAAGCGGCTGTTTTTTAGCGGCGCATGAATAAATAAGCGTAAAAAACATATATTGTCTGAGACTAGATGGATTCCAGAATCATTTAAGAGGAAATAAAAAAAAGGGTGAAATTTTCAATTTTTCTTCAAAATCCAACCGTAATCCCCCCTTAAACTAATGGGCAACACATGAAGGAAATCAAGTCAAAGGAAATGTAGTTCAGACTGGCTGGTTAAATTTAAAGCTTTTGTTTGTGCCTAACTCTGGCTTATAGTGAGTACAATAAAGGTAAAAAGTTTTTCTTTGAATACGAGCAAAGAAATTAGTTTCCTAAGCTTGAGCTGGTTTCATATACTCCTTCAACAGATCGAGTTCTCACTGAGGTATTCAAATTTACATTGTAAACTACACAGTTTTAAGATTTATAAAAGCGTTTTGCGTTACTTAACTTGTCTAACTTCGATCTAGTTTCTCTGTTCTAAAAGGGCTGACTGTTGTTACTCATAAAACAAGGCGGTAACAAAATGTCAAAGTTTTCTCTATGGTTACCAGTGGTGTTACTGTACGAAACGTAAATGGCTTATCTAAATTGGGATTCCTGTGGCTAAATTCAATGTTACCGCAATTATGTTATTAGTAATGGTCTTGGCTTCCCCTGGGAAAATTCAACTTGTTTTTTGTGCATGCTTGTTTTACACATTTAAAACATAATTTTCAATATTCGAAAGTTATCAGTTAACTTGATTGATGACGATCGCTGTTACAGGATATCAACAAGGGCTACCCAATCATGCCCAAGTGTACAGCTCAACTCTTACAGTGAAGGATGCGCAAAAAAGTGGTGCGACAAACCTGAACAGAACGTGAATTACCAAGCACGCAGAAAAGATTCTGAAGGCAAATGCGAGATGTCCTGTTGACAGATGACATGTTATGTTGGCTCCATTTCGTGTTGGGGTCAGCTTGTTTTCTCTGCTAGCATGCGCAATTTCACATGCTGTTTATTATCTGATATATTGAAGGAAGGGCAGCTCTGATAGTAACATTTCGAGACTTGAATATCTCATTAAGATGCCCTTTTCGTGTTTTCGTTTTATTTTTTCTTTGATCATTTTGTAATTTCCTAGTCTCATATTTTTTATCACGTCCACAATGTGAAAGGTACCTAATTTGCAACCTCTGGATTTACATGCGACTAACAGTGAGATACAAAGTGTCCGTGACCAAGATCATGAAATAAATTTAAACTTAATCATGTTCTATTACGCCTGATTTTACTTCAACTTTTGTAAAATGCTTGTAGGATCAAACGAACCAGTTGCCCTTTACGTTGACGCATCAATTAAGGGCTTGGATGTAGCTTTGTTCCAAAACAACAAGCCAATAGCCTTTGCATCGAAAGCACTTACCCCTGCGGAGACCAGATATGCCACTATTGAACGAGAGCTATTAGCAGTGGTCTATGACTGCGAAAAGTTCCACTCGTACCTCTACGGAAGATCGATTGTGGTCAAAACAGACCATCGCCTCCTAGAACAGATCCACAAAAGGAACCTGATGCAAGTACCTCCAAGTCTTCAAAGAATGATGTTGTATCTACAACTCTACGACTGCGTTGTTAAATACCTTCCAGGAGGAGAAATGGTCACAGCTGACACCCTGTCACGCCTTTCACCGTTGGATGACTTTGAAGTACCAGATATGAACGTGAAAATTCACCACCTAATTAGAATCACCCCAGCTAAAATGGAAGAGTTCAAAGAAGAACTGCAAAAGATGAAACCTTACAGCTTCTATCCCATCAGGTTGTACAAGTTTGGCCCGATAGAATGAGGAAAATTGACCCAGCACTAAAACCGTACTGGCCCCCACGAGATGACATATCAGTGGAAGATGGGCTGATACTTCTTGGAAGCCGTGTTATAGTACCTGAATCCTTGAGAAGGAGCTCATGATGCCATCAGAGATCCCTTCAAGACCGTGGCAAACAGGGAGCGCAGATCTGTTCTATGTACAACAGTCGTGGTTCCTCATAGTTGTCGATTACTAGTCCAAGTTCTTATTTATTAGGAAGCTTCATAACCTCACAACTAGAGCCATCTATGCACAAGATCCCGTGAGAAAGACGTGGAATCCTACTAGAGTCATAGATCAGGGAGATACGCCCCGCTCATATATTATAGAAACTGAAATTGGTGCTAAACTACGAAGAAATAGGATCCATCTTAGACCAAACAATGCTTCCAACAACCTAGCAAACAACTTGTCGAGTTGCATTCCTCAAGGAAGTATAGCTTCACAATCCTCGAGCGCCAATCCACAATGTTCCACCTTAACAGAAACTGAGAAGGATCCAAGAAAATCTCGCTCGGGATATGAAATTCTTGCACAGGAAAGACTTAACCTCTGACTCTTGCACTAGTAGTTATTATTAGTAGTATGATTATTATACTATATAATCATAGTAGTATGATTAGTACCTTGCATATGTATACAAGATCCTTAGATATTGGCTCGAATATATGCTTTTGTTTGTTTCCGTTTCAATTAACGAAATTTTAAGAGAAGGGGATGTAACATATTAGCACGTGATAATTAGCAGCTATTGTAAGTTATATTTTGTGTACGAATACTTAAGTAAGCTGGCACATTATGCAAAAGCACACAGAGCATACACACGCGGTGTGTCAAGAGTCGAATGTTATATACACTGCAAGGAGTAAACTCCAATGTTGTAAGAGCCTCATGTTTGCAAATGCCCCATCAGGGCCATTAAAC